CCCATAGCTAGCAGTCCAAAACAGTCCAGTGGCACCTTTAAGACCAAGTTTTATTCAGGTACGAACACTCCCTCCTCTGTAAGGGCAGATCTGCACATCCCCCCCCAGCAATCCAAAACAGTCCAGTGGAGCCTGAGTGGTGGTTGTTGCCTTCTGACACACTCCCGGTGATGTCAGGGGGTGTGACATATGCAAATAAGTTATGCTAATGTTATGCTAATGAGCTCCTGCACCTCTTTTTCTACAAAATGACCCCTGATGGTGATACTCAGATCACGGAAATTCTAAGGTAGGTCGTTAGATACAGCAGTTTGATATTAGACTAAATTTTAATCTAATGTTTTACTGATGTATTTTAAAATCTTGGAATATTGTAAAAGTGTACTTCTTTTTGTATGGCTGGTCTAAGGACCATAGAAATAGACTGAACTGAACACCCTTTAAAACTTATTGCAGGGTCCTTACCTGGATAGCCCAGGCAAGCCTGATCGTGTCAGATCTCAGAAGCTAACCAAGGGCCAACCCTGGCAATTATTTGTATGGGAGACCTCCAAAGAATACCAGGTCATCAAACTACTTCTCTGAACGTCCTCCATGCTTCAGTAGGAGTCGCCAGATGTCACCATGACTTCCAGGCACACATACAAAAAAAAAAACCCAAAAAAACCCACCCAACCTTATTGCAGGGATATTAGTTTTGCTTAACAAACCCAAATGTGAGTTGAAGAGTTAAATACCCTCTCTTCCTTTGGAATTTTTATTTATTTGTTTATTTCTATACCACCTGTAGCTGAAGCTCTCTGGACAGTTTACAACAAATATAAAACAATAAAATACAATAGAAGAAAAACATTAAACATTAAGAATTAAAATAACATAAACATTAAAGAACAATGAACCTGACCCAAAGTGAAAGACAAACACCTGGCTAATCATATTGGGCTCCCGCATGACCAGGGAGGTCTGTAAAGGCCTCTGCTAAGAGGGCTGTCTTAATCTGGCACCAAAAAGATGGCAAATATGGTGCCAGGCAGGCTGCAGCAAGGAGGTTGTTCCAAAGGCAGGGGCTACCACCCGAAAGATCCTTCCCCTAGTTGCTTCTCGAGGGGTTGGCACCTGGAGGAAGGACCCAGAAGTTGAGTATAGTGTCTGGTAGATTGGGGTTGGGAGAGGCGCTCCGACAGGTATTGTGGTCCCAAGTTGTGTAGGGATTTGTAGGTTAAGACCAGCACCTTTAATTGGGACTGGAAACATACAGACAGCCAATGCAGGCAGGCCAGAACTGGTCTTATATATTCAGACCTCTGGGTCCCAGTTATAAATCTAGCTGCCGCATTCTGCCCCAGCTGCAGCTTCTGAACTGTCTTCAAGGGCAGCCCCACACAGAGTGCATTGCAGTAATCTAGTCTGGTGATTAACAGGGCATAAATTACTGAAGCCAGGCTATCCTTGTCCAGATACTGGGCCACCAGCAACTGGGCCACCAGCCAAAGCTAGTAGAAAATACTCCGAGCCATTAATGCCACCTGAGCCTCAAGTGACAAGAAATGGATCAAGGAACACCCTCAAGCTGCAAACCTGCTCCTTCAGGGGGAGTACGACTGAATCCAGAACAGGTTGTACACCCCCCCATCCAGTCAAAGGAATCACCACCAACAGAATCTCAATCTTGTCTTGATTGAGTTTCAGTTTGTTAGCCCTCATGCCGTCCATTATTGTAGCCAGACATTGATTTAGCACATTCACAGCTTCACCTGCTGATGATGAAAGGGAGAAATAGAGCTGCATGTCGTCAGTGCACCGATGGCAATACACTCCAAAACTCCAGATGTCCCCACTCAGCGGTTTCATGTAGATATTAAATAGCATGGGAGACCACAGAACTCCAACCTAGAGAATCCATGGGCTTGAGCAATATTCCCCAAGCACCACCTTGTGGAGACGGCCCTCTAAGTAGGTATAGAACCACTGCAATGCAGTGCCCCCCACTCCCATCTCAGCTAGCCACTCCAGAAGGATACCATGGTTGATGGTATTGAAAGCCACCGAGAGATCCAGCAGTATCAATAGGGTTGCATCCCCCCCTTGTCTCGCTCCCGGCACAGGTCATCATACAGGGCAACCAAGGCTGTTTCTGTGCCAAATCCAGGCCTGAACCCCAACTGAAATGGATCCAGATCATCAGTTTCATCCAAGACTGCCTGGAGTTGGTTGGCAACCACCCTCTCTAGAACCTTGCCCAGGAAAGGGATATTTCCTACTGGCCTACAGTAGTTCAAATTTTCTGGGTCAAGGGAGGGTTTCTTCAGAAGTGGACTTACCACTTTTTAGGCAGGATAGAACCACTCCCTCTTGTAAAGAGGCATTGACCCCTGATATAAATTTACTTTTTATAGACTTTAGGGTTGCCATATTCCAGGTAGTGGCTGGAGATCTCCCACTATTACAGCTGATCTCCAGGTAACAGAGATCAGTTCCTCCGGGAGAAAATGGCCACTTTGGAAGGTAGACTCTATGACATTATACCCCACTGAAGTCCCTCCTCTCCCCAAACCTTGACCTCCTCAGGCTCCACCCCCAACATCTCCAGGTATTTTCCAGCCCAGAGCTGGCAACCCTAGTGGAGATCCGTTTGGCTTAGCCTTCAGTAGCCATGTGTACGTGTGCGAGAAATCAAATCAATCAATCCCAGACAGCACTAGTGTATCTCAGAAAAGAAAATGCCAACATAAGACAATGATCTTGGGCCATATTGCTGGAGGGTTGATTTATTTTCATGATAACGTATAGGACTGGCATTTCTGGGACTGTACAATACTCATTGTCTAGTGAGTGAGTTTGCACTCTTTCATTCGCTAGTGCATCTTGCTTCGGATCCAGTCAAGGTAGTGAGCGACATTAGTGTAGACCCCAGGTTTGTTCTCCTGTGCGCAGCCTGTGCCCCAGCTGACAATGCCACGAAGGATGGCCTTATTCTGCTCCTCACATACTAGGGGCCCACCAGAATCTCCCTGCAGCACAGAGGGGAGAAACAGATCAGCAAAGATCTACCACTGCCACCACGAAAACCAATACAGTGTGATATTTTATTAGTAGGGTTGAAAATTGTCCATTTGGTACTTGAGGACCCGGTTAGCTTCACTGCTTTCTGAAGCCCACCCAATAATCATGAAACTTTTCATGTCCAGAATCTTAGTTAGGATAGGGAAGAACAATTTGGCAGGGTAGGAGTAATGTGGATGTTACCAAATGGCTGTATTGTAAATTTTATTACAAGTCTACAACACATACTCCTAGCCTAGGGGCCAAACTACACATGAATTTGGAGATCTGCAATGAGATTCTTTGTTTGGTATTTAGAGACAAAAACCACCTGTCTGTACTAGTGCTGGTGATTGAAAATGGCCTTTCAGGCTGTTTTTAGTCCCAGAAGGGAAAAAGACAAGCACAATGCATTACTTGTTGATCTCAGAGTAGTGTGTGTGTGGAGGGGTGCATTTCCAATCAGAAAAATGAAGCTGGGGAAAGAATTAAGCCTATTCTTCCCCAGCAGTGTGGACCCAATCCATCTTTTCCCTTCCCATGCAGATGTTTTTTTTCATAGATCCTGATGTCATGTGGATCTCTAGCTAGCTTTTGTGTGGACCACCCGTACGGGATTCCTTTTTCATGACAAAACACCTGCCAACATTTCTGTATCCAAGATGAGTATCTTCTTTTGGATAACTTGTTGTCAACCACTCTCACAAACTAGTTCAGTCTGACTGTCACTGATAAATCCAGCAGGGACGAAGTTGTCTACTGGAGGATTTGGCTGGTTGGATATCAAAGACACCTTTGCTTTTCATAAAAAGGTAAAGGTAAAGGTTCCCTTGCTCGAAAGCCAGTCGAATCCGACTCTAGGGTTGCGGTGCTCATCTCCGTTTCAAAGCCGAAGAGCCGGCGCTGTCCGAAGACGTTTCTGTGGTCATGTGGCCGGCATGACTAAACTCCAAGGCGCACGGAACGCTGTTACCTTCCCACCGAAGTGGTCCCTATTTATCTACTTGCAATTTCTTGCTTTCGAACTGCTAGGTTGGCAGGAGCTGGAACTAGAGACAGGAGCTCACCCCGTCTTGCGGCACCCGGGCCTTGAACCGCTGAACTACTGACCTTCCACAGCCTGCAGTTCAGTGTCTTAACCACTTGAGCCTTATCAGGTAAGGAGGAAAAAACCATCTGAACAGTCAATGAACTGGTTTGAATTTCTGGCCAATAAGTGTTATATGGAATTAGGAACATATATGAGAAGCCCAAACATACTATAAAGAATGCACAAGTGTGGTGATGAAATGTGTGTGAGAAGAGCTGGGAGAGGAGTTGAAGAGAATACCGTGCACATGGTTTGTCAAACTCATAAGGTCCTGCTAACCTCCAAGCCCTTCTGAGAGATTTGAGGAGGCAGCTTTCTTTGCCCCCCCTATTTAATCTGCCATTGAGCAGGCTATAGCCCTCAGGGACACTAACATAAATATAGAAAGATACTGTGATTGGGAATAACTGGAATAGCCAAAGTCAGCAAGTGGTGAAGTTGTACTGGAGAAAGAAGTTTACTGAGAAGAAATATAGCATGCATGGCTCTAGATAACAGTGCAAGGTGAAGGGATCTGACAGCTTTAGTTGTGGTGCTTCAATATGACTCTGAAGTAGAACATACAGCCAGCGTTTAGCCAGTAGATTGGCTGGATTCTCCAACTGTGGTAGCTACATAGGATTGTATAGGAAAATCTACCAGAGCAAATGGCTGGCTCAACTCCAAACCTGGGCAGTAGGCAGAGGGATGCCAAAGACATTCCTGTGTTGCCTTTCCCTTTACTTCCCAGTGGGCTCACCTGGCAAGCATCACTTCGTCCATCCATGTATCCAGCACACAGCATTTTTGGTGTAACACGAGTTCCATGTACGTTATGGGCCTGGCACTGCTCATGAGGAATGACAGGCACATCTGCTTCCTGCAGATACAGTGAAAGCTTGTCTG